ACTAATATAAAGAAGTAGCCATTATCATCAGTGCAAATCATAAAGTAAACTTTTGTAATTTTAATAATAAATACTTAATAAGATAATAAGAATAAAGAAGTAAGGTTTGTGAGTTTGTGATTTTGTGAGTTTGTGACGTTGTAGTGGGTAATCTCTGGATCTACTAAACCGATTTAGATGAAATTTGGTGAGAAGATAGTTTGAGATCCTAGGAATGGCATAGGATAGTTTTTATCCCGGAAATCATCCCTTAAGGGGGTTGAAAATGGGGATGAAAGTTTGTAAGGGGAATCAAGATAGGGACGAACCCGAGCGAAGCGAGGTTGAGCCGCTAGTTTTAATAATAATTACAATGATTCAAAAAATGCTAACCCAAAAAAATACACTTAACGTATAACTTTCAAAAAAATGTTTATTTATATGTCTTATCATTTTCTAATATAAATAATAAACAGTTTATAAGTACATAAGCTTTGAGCATGCTTGTGGGTATCAATGTTTTATGAAAGGCCGGCGTCTTGGCGCAGGTAGGGCATTAGTCATGCCAACATGTGTTCTGCAGGCTTGAGATTTGACATCTGAATCTGGCATTAGGTGTACATTTGAATTTAGAACTAATATTACCTGTTTTTCACATAATTTTGATAATGATTTTAATCTAATTTTCATAAAGTCCAAGTTTTTTTGTAAGAAGTATAAGTGAAGCTGGGGCGTTCTAAATATAAATTATATTGACGTAGGTAACATTTTGCTGTTATAATAACACCCGGTTTTTTGCCACTTATTCAATGAATGCAAGTTGTCTAAAACTATGCCGACGCTAGAAAAATCGATTCTCAAAATTACTATCTCTGTATAGTGTTATGTGATCTGTGCTATCATTAAGGAATTCAAGCATTAACAAATATGTTTATAAGTAATTATTCTAATTAAAAGTGGTCATCTACATATTAATCATTAATTATGACTAAACAAATAAGTCTTATCACGTTAATGAGACAGCTCAAGTAAACACATAATAGATTTGGATGGATATTGTAAATATTAAATGTTAATTTACTATTAGATAACTAATATCAAAGTATATTAAAATGTTTTTAAAACTTTGATGAAAATCGATTAAATTATTGAAAATATTATAAAATGTTTATTTTCCTATCTTTCTCACAAAGTTATGTGAATTAGGTATGTAGTAGCTTGAATTTAGAGATGTTTTACTCAGTTTTCCATTTCGGGCTTTTTTATAAGCAAGCAGACATAAACTGGATGATTTTATCTTGCAAAAGGTTCACCCCCATTTCTATTCTTTCTTCAAAATAACATTCATTAAATTCTACTGTGGTGTTCAGAAGTAAACTATAATAAGCACTACTGTAGTACTGTGTGCAGCATATGTTTTTGCTATTTGAAGGGTTTAGAGCATAAAAGAAAACTTATTTCATACGATTGAATATGATTTAATCGGATAACAATCGGAGGCGGTCGGCTTAGTGCGGAGTACAAGAAAGGAAAAAGAAAAGAAAGAGATAATCGACATTATATAGAAAGTGACATTCAGATTGATTGTGTTTACGAAGACTATTTCTAACACTATTTATTATAATTTATCGATAAAATCAATTGTAATAAAAAATCTATCTAATATAACAAAAATCAATCAATTATCATAAATTCTACTATAAGTATCGAAATATATATCGAATCGATATATATCGAATCGATATATATCGAATCGATATATATCGAAACTAACTACTAAATCAAAACACAAATAAAAAAATCTTAATAATTTTCGACCTTTCAATAAGTTCCTACGCACTGTTATTATTTTCTACTCTTAAAAACACTTACACATTATCGTCTCATATATATATCATTTGTATTCTTTAGGTATTAGTGATACATTTGGTATAATTTATAAATATTTACAAACTAGCACTGTCCGCGGCTCCGCCCGCGTTCAGATGACCAAACACCACATTCTTAGGTTTTACATATTACTGTACTCTTACAATGCAGTTTTTGAATTTTTCCTCAGAAATGAGATATTTTCCCGCGGTAAAAAGTAGCCTATATGTTGACCCGGATAACCAGTTATCATCATACCAAATTTCATCAAAATCTGTCCAGTGTTTTTCTCGTGATGCGGTAAAAGACAAACAGACAGAAAAAAAATCTAAAAACTATAGATTCCTAGCCTGTATCGATAATAATGTCTATTTCAATTAGATTTTCAAAAAGTATTTAATGTACAGATTCGACTTAGTTATAATTTTATTATATGTATAGATTTCTGTTCTATTAATGCAATGTTCTGTAATGCTTAAGATTCGGGTCATGTAGATACGCCACTACAACAGAATCTCAGAAACGTTTAAAAAACGTATTGGAAAATTGTTAAAGTATGATTGAGTGATTTTCTAAAAGATTGAACATCTTAAGAAATTCTGTCTATATTAGTAGGTACCATAATTGAAAGATATGCAATTAAAATTGAATGCATTTTAGCCTTTTCATTGCAACGTGACTTAGTACATATAAATACACTATACAGTAATATTATTATCAGTAGAAAACAGAGAAATTTCCACTGTACGCTTTTGTCTTTGACATTTCTAAATATATCAACACGTATTCAAATCCACTATTTGCTTAATGTAATTAAATATATTTTGAAAGTCCTAGTTATCGAAAGTCTTGTGAAATTTCCCAATCAGCATCCACGCCCATCTGTGGGGCATCAAAACGTGCTATATTATTATTACTTTGCCTGGATCATACATTGAACTATTGTGTCGCAGCAATAGTTTATTTTTGCCACGTAGCTTATTCACTATCATCGTTACATAGTAAGATGTATGATGATAAGACCAAATCCTGATTCATACTCTGTATCTCTCTCCTTTTTAACCCCCGACGCAAAAAGAATGGTGTTATAAGTTTGATGTCGATGTCTGTCTGTCTGTGTGTGTGTCAGTCTGTGGCATCGTAGCTTTCAAACGGATGGACCGATTTCGATCTGGTTTTTTTCATTTGAAAGCCAGTTTCCTTGCGGTGGTTCTTAACTATGTTTGGTTAATATCGGTCCAGCCGTGTAAGAGTATCAGCTCTTTTCTAAAATGATGTAAGGCATATTGGCGTATGATTACTCGATTAAGTGCTTCACGCGTGCCAGTGTAATCGTTAAATGACAATTTGCGAAGGGGGTTTTTAAAATTTTTAATTTATAATTATTTCCTTATTAGATATTTTCATCCTGATTTTTACGGAAATTCGTATAAAGCTCTTATGAACTATTATAATTTTATTGTCATCCCTCCACGACCGCGGACACGCCGGCGTGTCAGTTAACAATAGATTTCTTAGAATTTTTATTAATTTCTTAGAAATTTACCTGATGATAATAAAGAAATATATATTTGCAATATGTATTAAAAATAAAACATCTTTATAGATAAAATTATCACCTGCTAATATCATTACTTCAATTTCGTTGGGCGACTTTTTCCATGTAAATTTAGCCAACCTTTTTTAACCCTTTGAATTTCCAAAAATCCTTTCGGGGTTACCAATGTTATTATAGGAATGCGCTGCTAAAATTTCCAGCCTTTCAGTTTTAGCGGTTTACCTCACTGTGCACTTTATCTATCCACTCGGTTTAATAATATAGATAGATATTTAACAGTTGTAAGCAACCTTACAATATATATATATATATATATATATATATATATATATATATATATATATATGCAGGATTAGGCCCTATTTACTCATCGGTGTTAAAATTAAGGATGTAAATAAAACTATAAATATACTCACTTTTATATATATATTAACATAATACTCACAACTATTCTTTCGTTTTGTCTCACTTTTTACACTGACACTCCACACGTTGCGAAACAACGCTTATGCACTACACAACACTTAAGCACTACACCTCCACTGCACAAATACACTGTTTTATTAAATAATCATTACACAACACTTCCACTTTGAGTTGACACTTGTCTCTTTGGCGTTCAGTGAGAGACTGTCCTCTTGACAGCATATACCCCCTATTTATGCATTCACAAGCACTGCCATCTATGATTAGGTATGTGCGTGTAGTCAATACAATATCTTAATTATCGTTAAATAACAATATGAGTAACTAAATATTACTAAAAAATAACAATGTTGATGACAGTCGGCCATCCGAATAGAATCGTATGACCTCATACGAGATTTAAACAAAATAACTCATTGTAAGAATCAAAGACAAAATACAAGAAAAACAAAAAAAAAACATTCATAAGTAAACTTGATTAATTACTACATTTTAAACAATTCTGTCCTGAATACAAGGCAACAGGCCCCTTACGTCCTGAATACCAAGTAACAGGCCCCTTTTAGTCCTGAATACATGGCAACAGGCCCCTTACGTCCTGAATACCAAGTAACAGGCCCCTTTTTGTCCTGAATACATGGCAACAGGCCCCTTACGTCCTGAATACCAAGTAACAGGCCCCTTGTAGTCCTGAATACAAGGCAACAGGCCCCTTATGTCCTGAATACCAAGTAACAGACCCCTTGTTGTCCTGAATACATGGCAACAGGCCCCTTACGTCCTGAATACCAAGTAACAGGCCCCTTGTAATCCTGAATACTCGAAAAAAAATGCTCTCCGACAGTAAACATTTCAATAAACTGCAATTTATGCAAAAATTATAACAACGCATTTTGACCAATAATATATTATATAAAATCACAAAATTATATTTTAAGTTAAATAACCTATAAAGATAGAAAGGTTGTATAATGTATAATGATACTAATTTCACACAAGTTCATTACTACATAACTAAATCAATTATCTTAACAACGGAAGAGTATTTATTATATTTAATCAATTTAATCATTATATTTAATTATATTATTTATTAACTATATTTCGTAATTATATATTCAGCCAAAATTTGAATAAAATACATAGATAAAACAATCTTAGTTCATTACTCACGAGATTCCTCATCGTCAGATTCACTGGAGTATGTCCCACTCACGTGTGGTCTATTGAAATTAAGCCATGGTTTGATTTTATCAATAGCTACGATAGTCGAGAAGCTTCTTCCTCTCTTTGAAGTCAATGGCGTGTCTTCTATGGCAAAGCGATCATGGTCTAAAATAGATGCGATTCTATAAGGTCCCTGAAACTTAGGCACAAGTTTTTTGCTCTGTCCTGTTGCAGGTACTTGGCGTTCCACTCTTACCAAATCCCCTATATTATATTTCGGAGGGATACAACGGTGCTTATCGAATGATTCCTTTTGATTCTGTTGGCATGCTTCAATATGAGTGTTAATTTCATCCCTTATATTAGCTCTGTTCTTGTCCAAATCGTGTATTATTTTACTTTCAGTGGATCCCGTAGGTCTTACCCCAAATAGAGCTTCTGCGGGAGTTCGATTTATGCCCTTATTGAAAGTATTATTCAGACCCCACTGAATATCCGGCAAGTGGTCATCCCATTTATTTTCAGATGTACCAACTGACTTGGCTGTCAATGCGTCAACAATAACTTTATTGTAACGCTCCACTTGCCCATTTGCCCTTGGGGTGGCCACAGCATTCATCACGTGCTTAACATCTTTCGCGTTGACAAATTTCTTAAATAAACTACTAGAAAAAGAAGTTCCTCTATCTGAAATGATTCTTCGTGGTACGCCGAAAATTCCGAAATATTCCTTGAGTACTCTAATGGTACTATTAGATTTAGTATTTCTCACCGGCTTTAAATAAATATACTTTGTGTAAGCATCGATTATTACTAGAATATGCATGTTGCCTCTACTGGAGCGCACAAATGGGCCGACATGATCTACATGAATGGTATCAAATGGAATGTCAATCTTCTCAATAGGATGAAGATAACCAGGCTTCTTACCTCCAGTTGCTTTGGCATAAGAACATTCAAGACAGGAAGCGACGTATTTTTTTATAAAGCTTCGCATTTTTGGAAACCAATACACGGATTTAACCTTTTCCAATGTCTTATCCATAGAAAAGTGTCCAATATCATCGTGATTGATTTTTAGTATTTGCCAACGTACCCCCTTAGGTACTACCCATCTGTCACCGTCTGGAGTAATCCTAAATAATTTTTCACCCTTTAGTTTAAAATTAGTTTTTATATCTATTATGTCATCTAAATTTGGATCTTTAAGTATCTGGACTTTTCTTTGAATCTCGGAATCAGCACTCTGGACGGTAGCAAGCCAACTTTCCTCAGTAACGCTCCTTACCATACAGGAAGCGATCGGAGTAGAATTCGGAACCGGGTTACGACTCAAGGCGTCAACATGAGCCATAGAGACACCTGCTCTATATTCAATATTAAAAGTGTACTCTTGCATCTGTTCCCACCATCGAGCTACTCGTGGTATCATGTCTCGTTTTTGAAATGTTGCACGCAAAGAGTTGCAATCGGTTACAATTTTGAAAGTTATGCCAATAAGGTATACTCTGAATTTCCGAAGGGATGCCACCACAGCCAGAGTCTCAAGGTCGTATGAGGAGTAATTCTGTTCTTCTGGACTAGTTTGTCTACTAAAATATGCAACAGGCAAGCGTACTCTTTCCTTATTCAATTGTATTAAAATGCCAGCTACACCTACCTTGCATGCATCTGTGTGGAGCTCCGTCTCAGCGTTTGGATCGTATAGAGCTAAAGTAGGTTTTTGTGTCAATTTATTTTGAAGCTCCTTAAAAGCGGACTGTTGTTCATGCCCCCAATTCCATGATGTATCCTTTCCGAGGAGGCGTGTCAAGGGTTTTGCTATTATGGAGAATCCGGGTACGAACCGTCTAAAGAAACTTGCCAGACCTAGAAATTGCCGCACATTGTGTTGATTTTGTGGTACTGGAAACTTCGCTACAGCCTCTACTTTACTAGAACCTGGTTGTATTCCACCTTTTGACACCTGAAATCCTAAATAGTCCACATTATTACCAAAAAATATACACTTAGAAAGTTTAAGTGTCAACCCAGCACTAGAGAACAAGCTCAGAACTTTTTCCAAGCGCTTTATACCTTCTTGGAAATCCTTGGCTGGAATTATTACGTCGTCCAAGTATGCAAGAGCTTCTCTGTGACGAGTTGACCCTAAAACTTGGTTCATTATACGTTGGAATGTGGAAGGGGCATTTGCAAGACCAAAGGGCATTCTGTTAAACTCAAAATGTCCCTCTGGTGTTACAAAGCCCGTTTTGTGTTTATCACTTTCTCGTATGGGTATTTGATAGTACCCCGAAGCAAGGTCTAGAGTAGTGTAGAACTCATTTCCAGCTAATAAATCAATCTGATCATCGATCAGGGGCATAGGATAATTTTCTCTTACAGTTTTTTTATTAAGCGCCCTATAATCTATGCACAGACGGTAATCGCCAGTTTTCTTGCGCACCAGTACTACTGGGCTGGCGTATGACGATGTGGATGGCTGGATTATCCCATTGTCAAGCAGCTCTGTTATCATTTCTCTCACCACCTCCTTTTCTTTTATGGACAGTCTGTATGGTCGGTAAACTACCGGCTCATCATCATGCAGAGTTATAGACATTTCTCCAACTGTAGCCTTACCTAATTCTGCCAAACTCGCTGCGAAACAATTTCTAAAGTTGTTTAAAAGCAATAGAAGTTTCTCCTTCTCCTCAGAAGAAATATTAGGTCCGGTTTTAACCTCGTCCATTCTTATCGGTTGATATAGACCTTGAGTTACATTATTAACCGCTATCACCTTTGAATCTACAGTATCCTTATATTCTTCTGTCATATATCCTCGGGCTAATAAATAGTCCTTGTTTATAGTGATTTCCTTACCTGATGCAATACTAACCAATAGCTCTCCTTCTCCGTTATCATTAATGGAAAACAGACCTGCTAACACGGAAAAGACAGTATCTTTTATTAATCTTAATCCTCCCTCTATGTATACGTCACCTGTAACTAATGGCTCAGTATAGACACTAATAACTGATGTACCTGAAACTAAAGTTTCACATTTACAGAACAATTTAATTTTGTAATGCTTACTGGAATAATTAAATGCCGGAAGAAGTTCAAGTTTATCGCTTGTTTTATGGACTACAATATGAGGTTGCTCTGTAAATGTTTGGCCAATCATAACTGGTACATGCATAGCTTCATCTGGTACCACAAATAGTTCTACATCAGCTTCTACTTCATCAATTTTAATCGTTACCAACTGTCTACCCAAAACATTAACAATGGAATTACCGAAACCTTTTAAAGTCGGGAGAGCATCAGTTTCGTATTGGTTATGAGATTTAATAAAATCCGATATCCTTATCATGCAACAATCGCTTCCAAAATCCAGAAACGCTCTGTAAGGAATCCCGTTGACTTCAATCGTTTTTAAATATTTTTCTCCAAGTTGTTTATCATTAGTCACGCGCAGAACATTCTTATCCGTTGTCAATGGTCCTTTAGAATAACACTGCTCTGCGTCATGACCTACTTTCTGACACTTGCCACATTTCTTAACCGGTTGTGGACATTGTGATACTGTATGCCCTTCTTGCTTACAATTAAAACAGCGTGGTCCCTTGCTCATTTGTTTCAATGAAGACTCCTGAGTTCTATTCATGAATTGATTCCTCGGAATTTTACGCTCATTCGTGCGACTGTTCCTGGTATTTCTAAGATACGCAAGTAGTTTATCAGGATTATCATATTGAACCGCCTCTGCACCCAATCTAATTGACCGATCGTCTATGCCATGAAGAATACATTCTACAGCTCGACTACCTGTTATGCCACATCGATTCAATAAAGCAATTTTATCATAATAATAAGTTTCCAGTGAATCTCCGAATCGGGCGCGCTTGGCTAGCATATCACTAAGCATTTGCCCATAATTTTCTGTGGACGGAAATGCCGACAACAATTTAGTTTGCCATTCATCCCATGAGAAAAGAACAGAAGGTAAGCCTTCATACCAACGCTGGGCAATTCCACGTAATTTTGGTAAAGCAAAATGAACTATTTGTTTTTCAGTCCATCCATAAATAGTTGAGCATTCATTAACCTTATGTAACCACATTGTCATAGTCTGTTCTTTCCTCGAGGGATCGAATTCGGGAATGGTATTATTCATATTTACTAACTTATCTAAATTGTTATCCGTACGACTAGCATATTTAAGTGCATCGAGTAATTGCTGTAACCCACTATTAGCGAACTGAGTTGACTCACCATTGTCCAATAGTCTTCCACGATGGCAACTAGGATAATTCTGGGTGCGAACGCTTCTTCTTGACTCCCGACTGCGTGGCGTACTGCGAGAACGACTTCGTTCCCGACTGCGTAATCGTTCTCGTTGATGGCTACGTGACCGACCTTGTCGATGGCTGGGGACACGGAGATGGTAAAGTTGCCTGCTTCGAGATTCGCTGCATTGTCCGGTGCGACGCCGGCTCGGCTGCCTGATATGGAGTCGGCTCGACGATCTGCTGCGAGACCGACTCGACGGCCTTCCACGTGATCGCTCTAGTTGTTGACTACCAGAAGGGAGCCCGTCAGGGCTACGTAACTGGCGTGACCTTACCCCTCGTGGGCATGGCCGATTGAGAATCGGGCTGCGAGCTGCACTCGACCTCATGAACTCTACTGGGCTCCGAGAGCGCTGTGCCAACCTATTCATATGGCACGATGAACGAGAACTTTCTTGAATGTCCACTGAAAAGCCCAAGATTATTACTCGCATAGTGTAGTGCTCACATTATGTAGTATAATAATACTAAACTCTTGTATTAACCCATATATATTATTATTATTATTTTATGAGATAAGTAGGAGGGTGAGAGAAAAAAAAATTGGAAAAGGTAGGGGAAAAGAGGAAAAAGTACAGTAACACAACAGTACAGAAGTAGAGAAAATAATCAAGGCAAATATAATATGATTAATTGAAAATAAATAATAAACATTAAAATAAATAATGAAAATAGAGAAAAAAAAATGAATAAATAAATAGTAATTAGTTAAAATACTTACGTCCCATATAAAACAAATTAAATAATGTATATGTATATTAAGGCTATAAAATATATACCTTCACACAAAAAAAAAATATAATAATAAAAAAATAAAAAGAGTAATAATAATAATAATAAACTACATATTATTAATTTTGTGATCCCACTTCTGAAACTGCAGGATTAGGCCCTATTTACTCATCGGTGTTAAAATTAAGGATGTAAATAAAACTATAAATATACTCACTTTTATATATATATTAACATAATACTCACAACTATTCTTTCGTTTTGTCTCACTTTTTACACTGACACTCCACACGTTGCGAAACAACGCTTATGCACTACACAACACTTAAGCACTACACCTCCACTGCACAAATACACTGTTTTATTAAATAATCATTACACAACACTTCCACTTTGAGTTGACACTTGTCTCTTTGGCGTTCAGTGAGAGACTGTCCTCTTGACAGCATATACCCCCTATTTATGCATTCACAAGCACTGCCATCTATGATTAGGTATGTGCGTGTAGTCAATACAATATCTTAATTATCGTTAAATAACAATATGAGTAACTAAATATTACTAAAAAATAACAATGTTGATGACATATATATATATATATATATATATATATATATATATATATATATATATATATATATAAGGAGAAATTTGTTTGTTTTTATGTAGTGGGACCTGGAACTAATAAAATGATTAGGTATAAATTGTTTTTCACTAATAGAAATCTGCGGTACTCCTATTTCATGATTATGTCTGCATATAAACTATTTTTAACCCTCGACGCAAAAAGAGGGTTGTTTTAAGTTTGATGTCGATGTCTGTCTGTGTGTGTGTGTCTGTGGCATCGTAGCTTTCAAACGGATGGACCGATTTCGATGCGGTTTTTTTCATTTGAAAGCCAGTTTTAATTATTGTTTTAGTTTTATTTATGTTTGGTTAATATCGGTCCAGCAGTGTAAGAGTATCAGCTCTTTTCCAAAATGATGTAAAGCATTTTGGCGTATGATTACTCGATAAGTGCTTCACGCGTGCCAGTGTCATCGTAAAATGACAATTAATTTGCGTAGGGGGTTTTTTATTTTTTTTTTATAATTAATCACGTATCAAGCAAGCGGTGGCGCAAGTGAAACTTAGATTAAAATATTTCGTTTACTTTCTAGATTTGTATTAAGAAAACTTGTAAATAATACCGTTGAAAAATATTTTCTTGCTTATAAACCTCCATCATGTCTTACAATGTTACGATTTACAACGAGTTTTGTATTTTTGATTTCTTATATAAGATTTTCAATTTAAACGTTTAAAATGATAAAAACGAAATATTAATGCTTCCTTCATAAATCATTAATTTGTCTACACCGCTGCGAATGAATGGTAAACGAATGTTCAGAAAAAAGAAAATTTATTGCTCACACTGAGGAACGTAAGGCGTAGTTCAGCTAAAACTGAGTTGGCATCTAGCCATTAACTATAATTATCGTGGGAGAGCCAAATTCTGCCATCACATTCCATCTCTGGCAAGTATAGATCAGAATTGACTAGCATTTTCCACGCGATTTATCGGTAACAGGATGCTAGGATGAAGCAAAATGTTTGACAATCTTACATGCTATATTACAGCACCATTTTGTTAAATAGGTCATAAGTAGTTCGAATTTAGGTACATAAAATGCTTACTTTTTATTATTTTGTTATATTACTAATAAGATTAGTGTATGTGATGTGATTTTGTTATATTACTAATAATATAAGTTAATGTGCTTTATCAATAAATAAATTATTATAAATACAGAGGCCGAATCTATAGTTTTGAAAATTTTTGTCTGTCTGTCTATCTGTGAATACATCACGAGAAAACCAATGGACAGATTTTGATGAAATTTGGTATGATTATATACAGGATACTTTTTTCTGTAGGAAAATATCTTATCTGTGAGAAATATATACTAAACGTTAAAACGTAAACACAGAAAGTTGATATTTTACTTAGCCACATTCAATAAAAAAATGTTACGAATGAATTGTATGATGATAAAAATGGTCAATTCTAAGCATTAAACCATAAAAAATATTTAAATAAATAAGGCTTTTTACATACATTTTTCAAGTACATAATATTTAACTTTGATCGAGTTTCTCGTTTCCCAAACTATCTGTTATAATGCTAATACGATATGATCTCACTTCCAGTTGGAGCAACTAAAGCATCGATAGTACTTCGACAGAATGGCTGCTAACGGGTAAGTTCTACATCCTAATTGATATTATAATATCTATATATAATAACCACTAGGTTTAGATAGAAATCACACAGTAGGTGTCTAATCTATTATACTATCTATAAACTATGCCTATACTAATTAATAATATAAATTGCTTTAATTGAACAAAATATGAATTTTTTTTTAAATAATATAAAGAAAAATAATTTGGTTTGCATGTTTTCTTAAACACGCTTGAGAAATGCTTACGGAAAATAGGTGAAAATACGATATTAGTATATGATTATTTACTGAAAATAGAAGAGAAATTCAAAACGAGGACTCGCTTGGCTCTGTTTGTAGTGACCCTACTTTCTGTGCCAGCGGTCGCGGGTTCGAGTCCCGCTGGGGGCATTCATTTGTGTGATGACGTTGATGATGATGATGTTTGTACTCCAGTCATGGGTGTTTATATTTATAATATGTATGTATTTAAAGTTATATATGTGTAGTGTATCAACTACCTGGTATCCATAACACAAGCCTCGTAGCTTACCATGGAACTAGATGGCGCTGTGTGTTAATGTCCCAACGTATTTGAAAAAAAAAGGGTCGTTATATGAAATTGTGATAACCAAAAGTTATTCAGAGTATGATTTGATATATATCTGCCATTTTACATTACTCATGAGCTGGAAATGGACAAGGACTCTAATAAAAGCTAAATATATTATCTACTGTGACTAATACAGCAATTTGGCTTTCTGTCTGTAACGTCTAAAATAATTCAACTGCGTTTGTTAACACCCTTTGCCAATAAACACTTTACGTGCTTATAGAACAGAAACTTCTTGAAATATTTGAAAGAAAACTATTGTTATCACCACAGTATTAAAATCTAATAGTAGATATAAGGTTGAATATGATGCTATTTTTAGCATTTACATAGATACACATAATCATACTATTATGAGTAAAATGTGAAAAACATATTTTTAAAAACTCGTCTCGAAGGGATGGATGTTCGAAAGTTAATTATAGCTTTTAGAATTAAGCAAGAGTTAGATTTTAGAGTTAATCTTAATTGAAAAGAATGCCTTTTATTTCATAAAATGGAAATTTATTACATAAAATGGAAGTCATGTTAATATTAGTGGACTAGAAGAAGAAAGCCACTGACGAGCATTCTGCATACACTAGCTAGTTTACAATATGTCTTGCATCTTGCATTATTTAATAGAAGCACCTAATATAGTGTAAGGTAGATAACAAAAGGTTTTACAACAAAAATCAAAGCTTTCAGGGTTTTCATTGAATTACACAAATACGAGTTTTCAAACAGTCAAAGCGGAATGGGTCAACAATGGCCGTCAGTGTTTGTGTCTCTCGGTGTTGTCATATGTGTAAAAATAACACGAAATTTGGACGCATTCCAGATACGGACCTGCGCCTGTCACTGGACATGTCGGCCGCATCCCGAACTTTGGCAGATCTCAGGTTAATGTTAGTATTATTTATATCTATAGTATTTAATACATAAGAATTTTATGTAAAATGAAGTTTAGGTATATTCTTGGGTGAGTGAGTGAAAAGTGGGGGTAGTCTTTTATTATTTTTATAAGATTTAATTGTGATTTTCATGTAAAATAAGGTCAAATAAAAAGGATATTTGGACCCAGTTATGCAAAAAACAGCCATATGCGTAAAAGTACCAACAGAGTTATAAGCATTTTTCTGTCGATAGTTGCACTTGGGTTATGTTTTGTTTTTCTGGTTATTTTAAAATTGAACAATATTTATGGCTGGTTTTTGCATAACTGGGTCCATTTATTCCATTGTTAATAAATTTTTAAAATTTAAAAAAAAAGGACAAAATATATATTTTTTGAAAGCAGTTTTTAACTTTGTTATTTTTTTATAAAATAATAAAATAAAAGTTTTTAAAAATAATAATTTCACTTATATAAATTTTCAGCCGATGGGGGCAGTTGAACCACCAGCATGTATCCAGAATGCTATGATGACGAAAGATAAAAAACCCTTCACCTACACTCCAGGTGGATTAGATTTATCTCAAATTAAGACACCAAGTATGGCTAGAAGAATGGCTCGACAACGGTCTTTAGAAGAACAGGAGCAAGCATATGCTCAACAACCTAACAATAACTATCACCCGCAAGGAGGTCCTATTCCACCCCCACCACCACCACCGAAAATACCAGCACCTCCTCCCCCACCCCCTCTTATCATTGAAGCTCCGAAAGAAAAATCTCAAAAACCAATAGCACCAGGCGAGCGACCAGAAATTGTTATACCTGAAAATCCCATAGGCATGTTGAGAAAAACTAATAGTCCATATCATTGGGAAGCAGAAAAAGCTGAGCTACAACGTATCGGCCCTGTACCTAAATTCGTTGAAAAAGTACCCAGTCCCTTAACTGTCAAGTTACCTTCACATAATGTTCCACAAAACTATTCTTCCCCAAGTAATGTACAAAGGCAAAATTATCCTTACCAAAATCAAGCACCTGAGAGTCCTTTACATAGGCCAGAGGCACAATATGCCCATCAAAAATCTAATTCACCGAATATTAACGGTATTCCTCAAACAAGAGAAATGCTGGTACGACAGGACTCACAATTTAATAAAAGTCCTCAACCCTTTGCAAATCAATCACCTCAACAAACAAACAATAGCAATGCTCCGTTTTCACCTTCTCCTAATAATCACTGGAGGCAACCAGATAGACGAGACTCTCCTTTGAGTATTAACAATAGTCCACAGTCACCACAATTGAACCGTGGCCCATTCTCACCTGCAGTGAAACAAACTGCTCCAAGTTACAATCAAGCCCCTAATAATTCAGTATTTCATACTTTACCTAGGGCTGGTCAAAGAAATCAAGATAGCTATCATAATAACCAACCAATTTATAATAATATTACCTCGGATAATGCAAAAGAAACTCAAGGGTCTCCAAATATCGAAACATCGAGTTCTCCTCCATGGCGAACGAACACTCTAAACAGATATCAACGTGAAAATCAACCAGCTAATAATTATCAAAATATAAATCAGCAGCAAGCATACAGCCCTCCGTGGAAAGCAAATGAAAGCAATAATAACCAAGCAGAAAATAATTTTAATCCACCTTGGAAACAGGAAAGCAAAAATATTCCTATACAGGTTCATAATCAACAACAATATTCTCCACCATGGGGTTCTCACGACGCTAATAATAGAGCCCAAGACAGTGTACCTTGGAGATCTCAAGAAAATAAATCAGCACCTTCCACGTCTCCCCCAGAAACCCGATACCAATCCTCGATATCTATACCTGTGACACCAAGAAAACAAAATTCTCAACCAGACTTTAAAAATAGCCCTCAAAAAGAAGCGGTGTATGTTAATCAAGAGCCTGTATATTACTGCCCTGAAAGTCCTAAATCGATACCTCCATGGGTTAAAACACAAAAAGAGAAAACTAAAACACCACCACCAGCATGGTGTCAAAGACCATTAGATGGCAGGAAGAGTCAATCAAGGGAACTAGCAACCCCTCCAAGAGAAACCAACCAAGAACCTGAATGGGTGAGAAAAAGTAATGAAATGCAAAGGAATGTTCGCGATGTCATAAGTCCGCCTAAGTATCAACAGCCAGTTCAGCCAAACTGGTCAACACGACCTTCTGAAAATAGGAAAAGTCTGCCGCGTGAGAACACACAGGGAAGAATCATCCCTATACAGATGGAGGTATCGAGTACAGAAACAAGAAATCAAGGAAGGCCAAGTAATCAACAGCCGCAATTAAGGATTGTAATCGATATGAAGCAAAATCCCGAGGCTCAAAACAACGCACAGGTTCCATTATCTCAACCTACACAGCGTATTATGAGAGTGCTATCACCGCAACTAGTCCGAATGGACGATGGTTACAATCAGCCAGACTTGCCCACGTTAAACAGAACTTTCCAGAACAACCAGGACAGTCAGCCAAAGACGAGAATAATTCCGATACAGATTGAAGGCGGCAACGGTGGTGGGGCAAACAAAAGGTAATTCAAGCTTTTACTTTTTAGTTTTTACCAAAATAATTGTGACAATAAGAACTATTTACTACGTAGACTTTAAGTACATACTTTTAAAAAATGGTTTATTTCCAATTTAAACTTTCACGATTTTATACCAGCAATATTTGTAAGTTATAGTCACATTTTGTATTTTGCACATTAATTCTCATACTAAAATAAGCCCAACCAAATTTAGGATTTTATTAAAACATTGAAAATTTTACATTAGTTGCACATTTCCTAAGGATGTTTAAAACTGAAGGCAACATCGTTTATAATTTTTCAGCTTCGGTGGGCGGTATTAAAGGAGCTGTTTGCACTGTCCAAAGTAAACAAATTTTTTATTGCACCGCTTCCATGATTCAAGCACTTGCTATAATTAGCGTTATTAGCATCATCACGCTTTGCGAACTCGCGCTAATACTGTTTACTCCACCCATTTAACCAATTTACGCTCTCTGTAATTAGCTGCTAAATCGATGATTAAAACTACAAAATTCAAAATTTCTACATTAGCTTTTTTCTTGCGTTTTATTCATACAGAAATTTTATTTCACATCATAATTGAGTCTGTAGTTTGTTTAGTACTAATATTTCTTAGTAGTTTTATTTAGATTATATATATTATAGTCATGATGATGATTACTTATACAAATACTTAGAGTAGGCCTAATAACATATTCTGGTTCATATCATATAATAATTTGTTGTAGCCAAATTAAATGTACTATTTAAAAAAAATATAACAGTTTATTTTGACTTGGAAAGTGGTAATTGTACTACTTTTCATTAGTAGCCATTTACTACTTCATATGAGTATTTTTTGACTCTCATTACTATACCAAAGAGGCGTTTGGACAAATGATATTGAACTTTTTTTACAGCTTATTAATCTATACTAATATTATAAAAAGGTAAAGTTTGTGAGTTTGTGAGATTGTGATGTTGTAGGCGGTAATCTCTGGTTCTACTGAAACGATTTAGATGAAATTTAGTAAAAAAATGGTTTGAGGCCCTGGGAAGGACATAGGATACTTTTTATCTGGGAAATAATCAATAATAGGATTGAAAATGAGGATGATAGTTTATATGGGGAACCAAGGGGTAGTTATATTATGTTTTAGAGTGGCACAGTTATAATACGTGTAGTACAAAACTTATATTAACTTAGTAAAAAAATATCATTATGCTATATATAATTATTATTTATTTTATAAAAACATTAACTAACAGTGTCTCTTTGAAATCAAAGATCGAAACATCCCCCAAATTTATATTGTAAACTGCGCAGCCTTTTGTAGCTTATTTCAGAGTGGCAGTTATAATACGCGTACTTTTTTTTTAAACATGGGAAATGCATTCACACGTACCACCTGCATACATAGAGGTGTTTATGTGGGGCTTACCAGCTAGAGAAGCCAGTACTACCTACTAAAACCCAACAGAACCTCCTCAGTATTAATAGGGCGTCGCAGGATCGCTTACGCTCTCAAACACGACGCCCCGACAGCAGCTGATAATGTACGCTAACAAAGTTTCATTTTAATCAGTTGAGTCATAGAAAAGCCTCGTTTTAATTCTTAGAGATTCTTTTAATAGAATAGTGAATTAAAAATAAAAAGAATTAGAAATAAACACTAACTTGAACGCTGTTCGGTTATATATTAACGTAATATATATATATATATATATATATATATATATATATTACATTAATATATAACATATAATATATCTGTATATATTATATCTTTGGTTGAGATGTAAGATGTTGTACCAAATGAAGATACGACCAACATAAGAAAAATCATAAAATAACACTTTTTTTTCCAGTCAGTTATATTTTTAAGTTTCGCGCGTTTGACTTTCTAATTCGGCTTTTTTTACAATTTTTTTAAAGCTTCTAAAATCTTTAATCAAATTTGCGTTTTCTTATCTATAAATTCATTTACAATCATTTTCATTATCACATCTTATTAATTATAACAAATCATAATTCTTATTTTTTACATATTTCCAGTGTATACTACCACAGATTTTCACAAGAAGGTTCGCCGCGGCAGTCCAAAGCTTTCAAAGTGTTGCAAGTGATTACCGGCACTGGCGATAAAAACATGGAGATTAGTATGGATAATCGAGGATACTCTGATTTATAATAATATTATTTTTATTGCCTTATGTATACTACATATGTAGAATATATATAATTATGTATAACATATGGATATAGCTATTTTTTTAATTTTATTTAGTATAGGTACTAAACAGTAGATTAAAAATTAATTGTATTATAACTAAAGAGGATTTAATATTACGATATAACTAAAAAATGCTTCGACGTGACGGCTTATAAGAAAATTATTTTCGTAAACACGGTGCGGTTAATTTTAATTTAAATACTTTAAAATATATTTCGCGGGAAAACGAGCTACATATATGTAATTTTAATAAATTAAATTTATTTAGTTAGTTCTAATAAAATAAATCTGCACAGCGAAAATACTTTTTTCTGCTTGTGATTAACTAATGCTCATAAATACGGCTAATATACCAAAGAATGTTTAGGAAATATTTATTGCTAATATATTTTTTAGATTAAGATGTTAACTTAAATATAATATTAGATATATTCAAATGGTTACAAGTTACCAGTAGTTAGTAATTTTTTTGTATATTAACATAATATAATTTTCACATTGTCTGTCTCCTTTAACATATCCTTTCATTTTATATACTTTCAATATAGTTTTTTTTTATTATTTATTATATATTTATATATCTTTTTTATAAAATATTTATGTATATCCCATATTTTTTACTATACATTTAAAATATCAGTATTTATTTATATAATTTATAATTACTTTTGAAATAAATAAATCCTACTAATAAATTAACAAGATTCAATTCCAAGGGTTCCATTAAACAAAATAGTATGTAAAGTAACAGATCCCACATGCCAAGTTTGAAATAATTTGTTTGTGATTAACCAAAAAATGTTAAGATACTTTACTCACGTATTATGACATTAAGAATTTTACATTAAAATAATTTAACAATGAAACTGATATCAACATTGATATAAATTTGAGTTTTATTATCAGTTTCTCTAAATTAATCTTTATTTTTTGGTGCAGTAATCCCCAATACACACGCTGAAATGCTATAAACAAAAGAATTTAAGTGAAATTTAAAAATGTGAGTTTTTCATTTCCTATCAAAAGTTTTTATATGAATTGATTATTGACTTAAAAGAAATAGTTATTTATACATTTTCAAAGGAAATAACTGTACCATTTAAACATTTAAATGGCAATTTCAATAAATATTTATATTTTCTATAGTTGCAATGTACTCACCATGGTGTAATGCATACAGCGGTCGCAGGTTCGATATCGGTGCCGGCAAATATTCGGGTTGATACCATTTAACTCATTCATAGTGATACAATTTCTGATATCTGCTAAAATATTGTAATAGAAATTATCAATCTACTGTTTTTCTTCTTATATGTCATAATCGTGGGTAAATATCTAATAACAGACAGGGGTGTGGCAATCTAGTCAGTGTGATCTTTATATGTAAGTATTCTATATTTTATATGGATTTATCGTATTGCAATTATTTAAGTTTAGTCATACTTTATTGTACTATAAGAATCATATAATTTTATAATAAATATCAATAAAATTTAAAGCTGTTTTATTTTAAGGTTACGCGTAGGCTTTGTGTATTCTATAGATATTTATATATCGTTTGCGAGTGTCTAATTTTGGTAAACTTTGGCTGTCATATTCACCTTTATTCAATTTATATAGAGGTGGTTACTACTATTATAAAGCAAAAGTTTGTACTTGAGTGTCTGTGTGTGTGTATGGTTGTTATTTTTCACGCTGAAACAGCTAATCAATATGCTTTTGGTTAGATACAGGTGGTTTTGTGGGTTTCACCAGATATGAAAACCAATATCAAACACAAACAACATGGAAATGGTTTTGCCATTTCAGTCTTAATGATGCGTCGCATGATGACTTACGCACTCAACCACGGGTACTGTTAATCACCTAGGGATGAACCCTTGCGAAGGTAGGTCACTAGTGCTATATAAACTTCAAATATCCGTTAAGATTATCTTATAAATAAATTTTGTTTATAAGCAGCTTAGCATAAGGTAAATTTAGTGCTTCTATACAATAAAAAAATAACGTTAGTGAAGAGTACAAAAATATATTGGGAAAATTTTAGTACAACAAAATGAATTATTTTTTCCTTAAATAGGGCAAATAAAAAGGAAAGGATCATGCGTCGATATCAGAATGGTACCAGAATGTTTACGATCATAATCTAACTAATACACTAAATATATCACATCTGAAGAGTCCCAATGCACTTGACGCCATATTACGTTTGCTTTACGTAAATGATAATTTGGGGAGCGCTATGACGTAGACACTAATGGAATTTTTGTATCTTTACAGAGGAATTAATATTTTTTTTTATATATACGTTACTAGCACTGCCCGCGGCTCCGCCCGCGTTCAGATGACCAAAAACCGAATTCTTAGGTTTTACATATTAGTATACTCTTACAATGCAGTTTTTGTATTTTTTCTCAGAAATGAGATATTTTCCCGCGGTAAAAAGTATCCTTTATGTTGACCCGGATAACCAGCAGACAGTCAGACAGACAGACAGACAAAAATTCTGAAAATTATAGATTTGGACTCTGTATCGATAATAATGTCTATTTCAATTAGATTTTCCAAAAAAATATTTAATGTACAGATTCGACTTAGTTACAATTTTATTATATGTATAGATTATAGATACCGATTTTTTACAAGCTTTTATTTAACTTCTAATGTTTGTATGTATGTTTGTTCGGGTCAAATCTTGCAACTGAATTTTAAAGCAATTACTTTCAACTGACCGAGCCGAAATTTTGCATACACGTTTAGTTTAGATGACAATGCATGGTTAGATAAATATCAGCGTTTTACCTACCAATAAAACGCTTATTAAGCGATAACCTTATTTGAAGCCTATATTAAATATTTGAGAGAAGCTAACTTGATTTCCGGTAACGCGTCAGTTTTTTCTCGAATTCTCATTGGTCGTCCCCCACCATTTTAGTTCCCTCGTTGTACACCAGGTAGCGCTGCGCTCAGAAGATGGCTAGTGTCAGCGCCTTGCTTCATTGGATCTCAAATATATATATATATGAAAATTTTCACCAGGCAGAATTGATATAATAGGCTTCAAATAAGGTTATCGCTTAATAAGCGTTTTATTGGTAGGTAAAACGCTGATATTAAGCTTTGAACCGTTATTTGAAGCCTATATTAAATATTTGAGATCTGTCTGTTATCGCCTGGTGTACATGAAAAGCCAATGTGATACTATGTTAAACCAATTGGGATAATTTTTAAAATTACCAACAGCAGTTAAACAAATAGTAAGTGAAGTGAAATGTGACATAAGTTAAATGAGGAACAACCATGTATTTTTAACAATTTATTGTAAATAAATGAACTTTAATTACCACATACTTTATGATATAATCATTCCTATGTAGTACTAATCACAATTTGATAAAAATAATAACGATAAATTAACATGAACTGCTCAAATAAAAACATTTAATTCATATCTAGCAACAGATATATTAAACTAATCAAAAAATCTATAATAAAAAATAAACTCAAATTTCAAGCAATGTTTAAAATCAATCAGGCACAGGATTAAATAATTGTAATACACCTTTAGAGCTAGACGGTAATGAAGAACTTTGAATTTCTCTGCAGTAATATTTTAGAAAAGTATTTCCTGATCTCCAATTCCCTCGTGCAAGTATGTCATCTAACGGACAATTTTGGATCCAATTTTTTGAAGCGACTGCGGGTCGACAACTACCTGGGCTAGCTTTGATACCTGCTTGACATAAAATCTTCTTAACCCAATTACCAATATTAGTACTCGAAGCTTCTTTTGGTTGACCACAAATTGTTAAGAATAAGCTAGTCTTTTTACAGATTGCACGTCTAGACTGAGACAACTCAATAACTTTCTGTATCCAAAAATATGGGTCTAGGGATTGATTATCTTTGTTTCTATAAATACGCCATCCTGACTGTCTATTACATACCGTGTCAGTTTTGGACCCAAATTTAGGCCAGAAAATTATTGATTCGTCCTTTAACAAGCAATTGTTGTCTTCAATATCCAGTAATGTAAGATCATGTACACGACGGCCAGAGCACAATAATAATAACACAGCTGCACGCGCAGAACATTCAAATAAATTATTCGTGTTTGGCAAATTATTTTGTAACCAATCTGTCAGTACATCTGTATCCCATATTGGAGCCTTTGTTTTATTATTATTGACAGATTGACTATTACAAATAGCTTTCAAAGCTTGTTTTACCAACACATGTGAACTCAAACGGGATTCTGTATTAGGGTTGCATAAAACTGAAACAGCAGATTTATAGACTAAAATGGTTTTATACGCCAGTCCTTGTACTTGGTGTAAGTCTATAAGATACCTAGCAAAGTCAGCTCCAGTGGGTTGACTGATGGAGACAAAGTTCGCCTTCGCCCACGCGCACCATTTTTGCCATGCTACTTTATAGATAGTTAAAGTAGAATTCCGCCAACTTTTCTGTAAAAATTGTCTCTGCCTATCCGACTAACCTGTTAGATATTCCGTCCACCCCCACATCTCCATACCTCCAAATACATGTCTGGTGTCAGTGGAGGTGACCGATTCGTTACTGTGTCGATCAGAACTAGTCCCAAGTTCCGTATTGTGAAAGGAGGATTCAGAGCGCGACTCTTCAAGTCTGGTCGCCAAAATACCTTGGTCCATCTCGGTGCTACAACCAAATATATTCCCGTTGCCGAGTTGAGGTGCTGTAATACCCGGGGAATTAGAAATGGAGGCGGGAATACCCATGCTAGTGAGAAGTGCCATTCCTGACTGAACGCGTCGTACAGATGTGCCTGCCGGTCTCTCACGTCCAGCGTACCGTAAACTGGGACAACGTGAGCTGTCGCTGATGCAAACAGGTCTATTACTGGAAAGCCCCATCTCGCAAAAATTATGGACGTAATTGTGGGTAGAAGGTGCCATTCTGGCGGATGAATTGAACGTGACAACCGATCCGCTTCTCCGTTGTAGCGGCCTGGAATGTAATGGGCTTCTACGTGAATATTGAACCGATCCAATAAAGTGAAAATCTTGTATGTAATTTCCATCAAAGGCCCCGACTTTGTACCCCCTTCGTTTCGCAAGTACGCAACAACTGTGCGGTTGTCGCTCTGTATTAGCATCGAAGATCCCACAAGGTGCGGACAATGATCTTTTAATGCGTACCACACAGCCCGCATTTCTCTTTGATTGGAATGTAAACGCCCTTCCTCTAGCGTCCATTGGCCCGACAACCTCAGATTGTTCAGCTGAGCTCCCCATCCTACTTCTGAGGCGTCTGTAACCAAGTAATTCGAAATGGGAGGGAAATGAAGGAGCGAGGGCCGAGTCAGGTTGAGTTTCCACCAATCCAACTCTTTCAAGGCAGCGGTTGGTATCGGAAATTGCAGCCGAGGATTGCAACGCAGTAACTGCTGGCAATGTTTCAGGAGAGCTCGATGATGTAAGCGTCCCCTGTACACTGGAAAACTGGCAAAATTTATTGACCCCACTAAGCTTTGAATCTCTTTTAGATTGGCCCTTTTTCTTTCTAACATTGTCAAAATCTTTGTTAGAAGATCCCCACACTTCTTTATCGGTAAACTTTTTAGATTTGCATGAGTATCCCAAACAATTCCCAGATATTGTACATTGGTTTGTGGTACTAGGACCGACTTTTGGAAGTTTATTTGCCAACCTAGTTTCTGTAGAATGCTCAGAGCATCCCGAACTTGTTGCTTTAGGAGCAGAGGATCTTGGCAAGCTAATAGATAGTCGTCTAGGTACACCACAGTTCGAATGCCTTTCCCCCGAAGAACTTGTGCCACCCAATTCGTAAGAGATGCGAAAATTTTTGGTGCACATGCTAGGCCGAAAGGTAGACACGTCATTTGCCATAGATGACCTTTGTAAATAACTCTGAGAAAGCATCGATGTGCTTTGGACACAGGTAGGTGGAAGTAGGCATTGGACAAATCTATCTTGGCTAACCAATCCCCTGCTTGCAAAAAGTTCACTATTTTGTGCACATTTATGAGTCTGAATTTGTCCACGAACACATAATTGTTTAGGCTTTTTTATAAATAATTCATTCACTTTTTCATGCAGTGATTTAGCAGTGATATTATTACCCGAGAAACTTGCCCACTCAATTAAAGCTGTAAAAGCGCTCTGTGCGGCTTCATTTTGCATAATAAGAGCCTGTGTAATGGCAGCGAAACCCCGCTCAATAAGCGCAAGAGATGAATATTTATCATATGATTTGATTTCTTCATTAGTCTCTAAATATGTAAAACCCGGAGCAGAACAGTACTGCTTTTGCACTTCTGCATAGCGTACGTTGTTCCAATCTTCAGTATCAAAATGTTGTATTGAATTAATTAACTTTACGCGAGCCTGAGAAGACTTTTGTATTGTTGGTTCTTTCAACACAGTATTCAGAGAAAAATTGAAACTAACGGGCAATTCAGAAGTCTGCACTGGCTCCTGCGTACAATTCTCACGGGTATATAGTTCACCACTAACATCTGCACTAATATCTGAATCAATATCTATGTTTTGTCCTTGGTCAGGCACGTAAGCACTAGAGTGACATGTAGGTTGAAAAGCAACGCTACTGTTTGCAATATAATTTTGTATACCACTTACTTGTTGAGCCAAATAATGTATGGTTTCTTCAAGACGTTTTCTCCTTTTTTCACTGCGCTCCTTTGAGCCTGAACGCTTCCGTTTTCGCTGTGTTTGGCAAGGAACAGGCGTGGTTGGCAGGGCACTTGACCTGGCCCGTTGCGGCTCCTGCTCGTGAACCTCCACTGCCACCGTTTCCACGTTATGGGAACTCGAGCAAGAAGAGGAATCAGATAATTCGGAAGAATCTTCACTCATACTTAAAGGAAAACGAAATTATTTAAAAAACAAAATAAAATAAATACCGAACGATAAAATCGTTTAAAATATATAATATTTAAAAATATACTTATAATATACCATATCCAAAATATAAGTGTTATAAACTCACTTGTAGATTTTAGACACGACCGACTGTTACGGAAAACAAATCGCCAATGAAGCAAGGCGCTGACACTAGCCATCTTCTGAGCGCAGCGCTACCTGGTGTACAACGAGGGAACTAAAATGGTGGGGGACGACCAATGAGAATTCGAGAAAAAACTGACGCGTTACCGGAAATCAAGTTAGCTTCTCTCAAATATTTAATATAGGCTTCAAATAACGGTTCAAAGCTTAATAACGTCATTCTATATCCAATATGGCGGACTATGTGTTTTTTTGTACCCTCATGATATGGATATCAAATGAAAAGGTTTGCTGAGAAGAATACCCATTTATTATATTACACAATTTATATGATATAAAAACTAGTTTTAAAAAATGTTTTTAATATTACTTTATGATTGTTAAGTAGCATACGCAGTTGCGTATGAAATGTTCTGAAAGTGTTCACATTCAATAGAACTGATTGGGAAGAGTAGTTAGTAGTAGAACCTTTGAATTTGGGCTCATTTGATTCTTTATTTCTTTTAAATAGAAACAAATATGTTATTTCTCACCATTTTATTAAAATTGTAACAGCTAAACTTTATATTAAGCAAATCAGTGAAACATCAACATAGTTATTACTCGCAAACTACAAATATTTCTAATAATATAATTAAAGTAAATATCGTACATAATATACGTTCGTCATAAACAATATGTTACGTGGGTAATAGACGCCTTGTATTGGATTACTAGTACTAGAAGTTACAAGGGCTTTCTCAATCTTCAATGTCTCTACATGTGTTCAAACATGCTAACGGATTTCAGACAGATACTTGAATCCAATATGTCTAATAAAAGTATCTACTAGATGTCTTAAATTTTATATATATATATATATATATATATATGTATATATATATATATATATATATATATATCATTTTATATCAGAGAATATGCCTCTTATATATGTTACAGTATAGTATTATATGATCTGTGATGTTACAATCTTATTTTTCTACACAACTATTTCCCCAGGATCCTATTGCGGGCTTAAAGGATAAAGTTGTTAAGGAATAATTGAAATACTAAACGAATTGTATTCAGCCTTTTTACGTCCTACTGCTGGGCACGCGCCTCCCTTTAATACTAAGTCAATCAGGCCATAGTCTACCACGATGGCTAAGCGCGGATTGGCTCACTTCACATATCTTTCAAAAATTTGCTATATACTCTCAGACATCAGGTTTCCTCACAATGTTTTCGTTCGCCGTAACATAAGTGGAAATGATTCACACATAAAAATATGAGAGGCATGAGTTTTTACCAGTAAAGCAAGTTTTTCGCAGATTCTTAATCTTGACCTTACAATACAGTAACTTGCGTAGGATAAAGAAGATATAAGTGATTAGTCGAATATAAGATAACTTGTATGTAAAAACTAGCCAAGTCAAATCTTGAACTTCTCTGTGTAAATAATTCGAATTTTCAAATTTAAGAAGTTTTATTTTTAAATAGCAAACTCTTTTGTAGCAGAAAAAAACAAGAAATTGTGTTTTAAATTTATTTTAGAATGTTGTATGTTCTTATGAAAAAAAACAGGATTCTCTGCAGAACTTGGCTCGGATTTAGATCTCAATTCTTTTGTCGGTGAAGTTAACGATCACGCATATTCTTAACATTGAACTGGGCTCCCATTTTCACATGTATGTCTTTGATGGGATATCATGATTTTTTGTAAAGAAACTATTATTATTCATAATTCAAAGTGATATGTAAATTCAATATTTTTTTTCATAATTTTGCGACTATTCGTTAGTGGATAAGGCGAATACGAAAATGTTATTTAATCATCATGGAACCTTTTCTCCTTAAGAAGAAAAAGTTTTTACTATTACTATGATTGCTATTGCTATTATATTTTAAAGGGCACTAGGCACTATTGCTATTTTGTTTTGGAATGCGCAAAGTGTTAATATATTTTTTTTCAAAATTTAAAAATTTACTGTTTTCGGATTTTTCCCTATGTTAGTTTAGTTAGCTTAGTTTTGATCTATAGGTCAGTCAGTGATAAAAATGACGATTTTTGGATGTTAATATCTAAATAACCGTTTGTGGTGTGTTTATAAAATTTAAAGCACATATCTATCTCGCAAGTTTCAATATATGAGCCTAACATGTTTATGTGAAATAGTTTTTGAGTTATTAAGGGGTCAAAAGTGGCTCCAAATGGTTCGTGTAATATTACACACGGTGCTGCGTTGCCAGTTCGTTTACTTGAACTTGGCTGGACACGCTACCACGTATCTTGATGTACTATTTTCACTAAAATGTTTCAAAACTTTACTGTCCCCTGTGTCTCAGTAGAGATTTAACGTGAAGCCATCTCTACTTCATTTTATAATAAATATGTATAATAAAAAAAAATTGTACATTACTACACTATATTAGTACATATTATGTATGTATGTATGTATAAATTATAAACAGGCATATAAATTGTTCAAGCCTAAAATCAAGTTATTTAAAATGCAAACAAAGCTGATTGATAGAGGCGGTGATAGGAAATAATTCTGACCCGCTTTTACTAAATTGAGTAACATTTAATCCATTTGGGTCTGTAATCACTGGGCTTAATCCCACCTAGGGTGGGTTATCGATTACAATTTTACGGCTTTGATGGCAGAATGCCAGTGCTAGTCCTTGAATTTAAACGACAGAACATTTTTTTTATAACTGCACACTTCTCCTTTAACGTTATTTGTATAAACGACGAAACTATCAAGTATTTAAATTCGTATTAATATTATAAACATGAAAGTTTGAACGGATCTGGATGAAGTTTGGCACAGAGATAGGCTGGAATAGCACACAGGTTACTTTTTATCCTGGAAAAATGTACGGTTCCCGTGGGATAGGTTTGTTTTTGTTTTCCTAGAGGCGAACCCGAGCGAAGTGAGGGTGAGCCGCTTGTTAGTAATATCTTTCTTTTTCATACTAGCGAATTATTCTCGCTTCACTCAGGTGCGGCGTCTCTAGCTACTTTTGTTTTTTTAATATCAATAGCAACTTACTTGGCTTTGGACCATGAATGCTGTACAGCATTCGAAACGTCGGGAACCAAAAATCCGAATAATTCCGCGAAAAAATCCGAAAAGATATTTTTATTTAAAAGGTCAAATATTCGCGTAAATCTAAGAAAGTATTACGTGATAGTATTACTAACATAATAACATACATACAATTTTTACAGATGTCCAATTAAGATTATATTAAATATAGAACAGGAGAAATAAATACTGTAAAGGATTCATGGGTTCATAAGAGATATGTAGGGTTTCATACTTTATGGGACTTAGAAGTTTTCTTTAAGTTTTTGTTTCAACTATAAGTGTGAGCTTATATTTTGTATTTTTTATAAATATTATTTATGTATACTGTAAAAAACTTTTTACTTAACAAATAAAAGTTATGGAACCCCAAAATACATACTTTTTCTTATATCTCCTAATGAAATCTTTTCATTTGTATTTACTGGAATTAATGACTATGAATCAATCAGATAATCGTTAAAAAAAATATAAACCAAGTTTCCATCAACAGTAACTAATTGAACTAACATCAATTCTTTCAATGAAGTCCCGAATCGTATATTCGCTAAATTTATATAAATAAATAATAGTAAATATTAATTGGGACATAAACACACAGCACCATCTAGTTCCATGGTAAGCTACGAGGCTTGTGTTATGGATACCAGATATACTACACATATATAAACTTTAAATATATACATATTATAAATATAAACAAACACCCATGACTGGAGTACAAACATTCGTGCTCATCACACAATGAATGCCCCCAGCGGGACTCGCACCCGCTACCGCTGGCACAGCAAGATGGGTCACTACACGATGAGCCAAACGTGTCGTCAAAATATATAACCCTACCAATTTATCCAATAAAACAATATAGGGAGAGTTCACTCTTGTCCGTTAATTAACAATTTCATGAGCGAATGAAGCTGAAGATTACGCGTCCAATAGACTATTACCTGTGTTGATGGCAAATAGATCCTCATAAAATCAACCTGGTCTTATGAGGTCTGATGGCGTACAATGTACGTCCGTGACGTACTATTCCAAAAGAAATTGTTACTTTGTAATCTATACATATAATAAAATGGTTACTAAGCCGAATCTGTATATTAAATATTTTTAAGAATTTCTTATTGAAATAAACATTATTTTCGATACAGAGGCTGAAGCTACAGTTTTTGGAATTTTTGTCTGTCTGTCTGTCTTTCTGTCTGTCTGTCTGTCTGTCTGTTACCGCATCACAGAAGAACCACTGGAGGGATTTTGATGAAAGTTAGTATGGTGATAGCTGGTTATCCGGGTTAATATATAGGATACTTTTTAAAGCGGGCAAATATCTCATTTCTGAGAAAAAATACAAAAACTGCAACGTAGGAGTATACCAATATGTAAAACCTAAGAATTTGATTTTTGGTCAACTGAACGCGGGCGGAGCCGCGGCAATGTTGGTTAATGTCATATTTTGTTTCTTCGATGTGTGAAAAAAATTATCTATCTCCTAAGCCATTAAGTCATCTGGTAAATTTTTACTTTTGAAGAACAAGTATTCTCCATTGCAAACATCTCTCAAATAATGTCAAAAAATAATTATTACATATAAATAAAATAAATAAATAAATAATATAGGGCAGTAATTAAAAATACCTCGAAAAGTATAACGTAGACTCGATAAGACTCAGAAAAGGTATTTTTGGGGAAAAAGTGTTTATAGGGCACGAATAAAAATAGGATAAAGGAGACAATAAATGCTACTTGTGTTAATTCATTAAATTAATCATTTCGACT